CATATAACAGTGCAAAGTGCATGAGAATAATCTGCATAAAATGAACAAAAAATATTTCAAGCAGTAATTGTAAACATTTTCTTACTTACCTGCGCTATACAACCAACATGCATTCAGCCATGTTTTTTTCTGCAACTAGCTTTCAAACACTTTTCTCCTGATTGGCTAATTTCCAGTCAGTCACGTGATTCTTCCGCGCGGCTACTGAAACATTATCTGTAATGTTACAAGCAAATCAGCTGTTACCGCTACAGTTTGCTTTCAACCTGTTACCATTACAGGAAATTCTTCTGTAACTTTTTGATTTCTGTAACTTTACAAAACTTTTGCCTGTAAAGAGCGAACTTTTTTTTTTACCGTGTACCAATTTTCGTCCCATTCATAACTCCTTCTTGGTACGTCTGTTTTTTTTTTTTTTTTTTTTTTTTTTTTTTTGTCTAAGAGTTTATTTGGAAACGTATTGTAGTTTCCCGCATTCTGTTCACTACATACGTAAAGTGTAAAAGGTCAATCTTCGCGTTACTAGTCATTGTAAAATATCCCAGTTTAGTTCTTATTTAATTAAGTAGTTTTAGTTCTTATTTTTACGTTTCAGACCATAAGTACTGGTCTTTGTATCTCGAAGTGCGGGAACGGGTGTAAACTGTGAGAAACAAAGGGTAATTAACCCTTACCATTTGTGTCGTATATTGTACACTTGCACGAACATAGTTTTAAGCAAACTCCCTGTTCTTACTCAGGTCTCCAGTTATGTTTGCAAAGGCAATTAGAAGAAATAGAAGTCCTTATAAAGTATAACTCTAGTCCATAAATGTTCTTATTTTTAAGTATGCATATTTTTTTTGAGAATTTTTATCCTTAATAACAAAAATACGCATCTGTGCTAATTTCCATCTTTTATATGGCAAATTCATTAAAAGATATTTTTCTTTTTAATGTTTATAACAACTAAGGGGATATTTCTAGCTAAGCTCATACAGGTTCAGATGTCATCTCCTCAGTGTTGCCTTAAAGATAATTTGCGAGTTACCGCTGGTAGCTTAATTAAATTGTGAAAGCGCGACTAGACAAACAGATAATTTTTTAATTAATTTTATATTACTTCACCACTTGTGAAGGTCAAATTAAAACAATACGAAACAAAAATATTATATTAATTAAAAAGTCAAAATATTAAACAATACAAAACAACAATAAAAAAAAACATGACTTTGCAGAAAACAAAGTTGGATCGCAAAATTTTCTTGGAAACAGTCTTAAGTATTTCGTATCAAGTCTCCTATACTATGGGTCAGACAACTAAAATCTAAATCAAGCTTGAACTTATCACCTGGGCTCCTAGGCTAATGCCCGGTAATTCTTATTCATTAGAGCAGCGGAGTTTTCTAAATAGTACGCAAGCGTGATCAGTCGTAAGCACAGCTTAACTTCTAGGTATTGCAACTCATGTGGTTACAAATTCTTTCCCTCACTTTGTACTAAACCGCCTGCTAATCAAATCTGTATAATTTTCTGGTCTGAGAGATTAGTGACGAAACGAATAATTAAAGAGAAGATGAAAATCAATATTTTTAAACTGTTAGTTAAACTCAAAATAAAATGTCACATTTTACTGGCTTTTGAAATAATCTGTATTACCTTCAGCTGTATTTCAAGAAAAGCGAAAGTTAGAAATTGTTAAAAATATTCAAAAGTATCCGCTGTTGAAATTAAAGATGCTAAGTGGCAACAAAAATGAAGTTCTTTAATGATAGATAGGATATGAATTTTGAAATTTTAGTAATCAGAGACAGCAACATCTAGAAGATATGGCGGGTGATGTAGAATATCCGATTTCTGCCATGAAAAGAAGCATGTGTTGAAGGTTTGAATTGCTGGAACACAAAGCCAGATCTATATGCTGAAACATTTGTGTTTTCCTTGATTGTCTTACTTTTGAAAGTTTGTTATCCGAAACAAGCGGTTATACGACTGAAACGTAAGCTGGAACAGTTATATTCTTTTGGCCTTAGACCCAGTTGGACATCACGATTTTGCTCGAAAACTATAACTCTTATTTTCACATTTCAGAAGCGTATCTCATTTACTGCGTGACTAAGCTAACTTGAACCGACTGTGCTCATACGAGTTTCCACAAATGGTGCTTTTAATACGCTGCTTAGATGAAGTCCGTTATAGGCTGCAGCTGTGAAACCTCTTGCCGTCATAAGTAATAAATTTTTATTCTGTACTCTGCTTAGCTTCCAGCTGAAAGTTTTCATGGTGCTGTCCAGACGGAAAGTGGTTAGTGATTTTCAGCTGCCTTAACGAAGGGCTCGGGTTCGAATCCGGAAAGGGCATAAATGTTTACTGTATATCTGTCCCTTCATAGGAGGCAACGGTGGCTCACCTATTACATACTTTCATAATAAAGTGACCACCGCTTCCGGCCTTAGTAGTGACAAAAGCCCGTAACAGCTAGTGCCCGCCATTTGAAAAAAAAAAAAATGTTTTCCGAGATGGAAAAGATGTTTAAAGACCGATAAACTGTTCGCGGACTGTTTATTCTGCTCTATCTGCTCTAATCAATCCGTTCAATCTGCTCTAATTAAATCTGTAGCTTTTCCGTTGAGTTTAACGTTTCATAATAGAGATAAAGCAGACCATGTCGTACACACAAGAAATTGTCACTTATTGCCTTGCGACATCACAATCCCTATTCTTTCTTTCATAGTTTCGGATTCAAAAGAATACAAGGACTTCTAATACATTTTCTTTGTTTATTTTCCTCATCTACATATAGCGAAGATAGTGAGCGGTGACTAATCAGTCACATGTTACACAAATTTGGTATCCACTTCCCAACCAGTCCAAAAACTTTTAGAATGTCACTAAAGAATTTCTTTAGTAGTTCTTTAGTTCTTGTTTGATCACACAAAAAGTTACAATATCTGTACACTCTGTGTCGGATATTCTATGTCGACAAAAGTTTTTAACCGGCCTTTAGTTTTATAACCGTTGGTCATAGACATATACTTCCAGCCATAAAAATGTTTTCAATAAGGCAAATATTCATGTTTAGCCATTTTTTTATTTAAAAAGTCAATTGTATAGAAAATACGAAATTAAACATTTCATACCCTCTTCTGGTCGCTACACTTCTAAAGGGTCTTCCAATAAGTATATGATTTTAAAATGCAGTGAAACAAAAACGATTTCAGGTACATCCAAAATTTTTATATTATTCTGAAGTACAATTTATGGCATGCTTTGAATAAGCGATCATTTAAGTATTCATCTCAACTTTGTGCTCACAAACGAATTCGATGAACACAACTTTCGACGACCGTATGCAAAGATTGCTGTTCAGTTACTGAAGCCTAACGTCACGAACAAAGCGTTCGGCACCGCCTTGTTGGAACTACATGTCCTCCAAACCTGGTTACAAAAAATGTGGTGCCATCAGTCGGTATCGCTCACCAATTACTGTAACTACATCTTCTCTCTCATTTGGGAAAAAAGGGTGCCATTATGCCACTAACCACACCATACTGAAAACTTTTGTGAATGCCGGAACTTCGTCCATCTTTTGATGCGAATTTTGTTTGTTAATATATTTATTTAAGCGGAAAAAAACTTCATCTGAGAAGATATTTTTTTCCCAAAATTAATATTCTTGAAGTATGTATTTTGTTATCGTGAACTGTCAAAGCAAACTAAATACAAATAAAAATAGTGATTATGGTTGCTATTCGTTTTAAAATCATATTCTTATTAAAACATACTCTTTATTTATGAAAAACAAAATAAAAGAGTGACTCCCGTTTGATAGAAAAAAAAAAGACCAAGATGTTTCATTTTAAATTTAGAGATCATAATTGGGGGCCGTACGCAAAGCAGAAGAGAAAATTGTTTACTTTTCTGCACAACTAAAACTAAGATATCAGTTTAGAGCAAGGTTCCTATGAGAGTTTCTGTGTAGATTTATAATGAAAATTATTGATTAATGTAATTTTTGTTTCAAACAGGAGATCTTATTCACATAATCATAATAGAAATCGTACTTTCGGATATTTCCGAAAGTACGATTTCATGGCATGATTCAACACTGGCACATAGCAAACTCTCAACATTGTTTGAGTAAATTAAAAATATTTCTTACTTAATGGATTTTTTCGTATGATTAATAGATTATGATTCTAAAGTAATAAAACTTCATTGAAATATTAATAGCGTATTTTTAGCGTTTGGGAAACTTGCAAACTGCTTGTATAAAAACTCTATCTGCATACCAATTGTGAAAAAATTATAAATTAAAGAATATTAATCATTAGTAAATCCTTCCCACAAAACAATATCACTGAATGACATTTAAAAGGGGAAAATCAGTCTCAATTTATTTATTAGCCGGCAAGTGGAAAAGCAAGTTAGTTTAAGGCAAGTGGAAAATGGAGTCAGATATCCCAAATTTTGAAATTAATTATCTCGGTCACTTTTAGTCGTACGGAAGTCATACTTTTTTTAATTATGAGTATAAAATTATTGTAAATAAGTATAGGGTACTGGGGACCTCGTTAAAAGTTAAATTTCGCAATTTTTATAAAATGGATTTATTTAAACATAAATATGCCCAAACATGAATATGCGATTCATTTAAAAAATTTCTGTCACTAGAAGGATATGTTTAAGACCTGTTCACGTTTCTGTTGCAAAGTTTTCTCCCCATTTTGTTAAAATTTTGTTAAAATGGGGAGATACTTAATGTGAGAATCAGAAATTTAAACAGTCAACTCCTGATGTGTTTATCCTGTCTTTGTTTATTGCAAAGCGATAGAAAAATTATTGTCACAAACCCTCAATGAAAATGTTATCTATTGAAAATGCAAAAAAAAAAAAAAAAAAAAAAAAAGAAGAAGAAGGAAAGTACGTAGGATAACAGTAGTGATAACAAGTGATGTCATAGTATTTGTATTTCGGGAACTACGTTTATCCACAATAGTACGCAATTAAATTATGCCTAATCCGGAATATGTAAACATTGTTATGTCATCCATTAAAAGTAAACTGCTCAGTTCTAAAAATAAATGAAGTGCGTAGCTTTGCACTGACGCATTGAATTTTCTGCTTTGCACTGACGTCTAACAAAATACAAGAGTAAGTAATCTTCCATTATTTATAATGCGTTGTTCTTGTTTTGAATGCTGATTTAGTTTATTTGAAGAAATGAACTTATTCTTTAGATTAAACTGTTTAGAAATATAGCTATTTTTTTTTTTTTTTTTTTTTTTTTTTTTTTTTTTTTGTTAATTATAGTAAGTCCCCGTTTCCAGCTTTTAGTAACTGTCTTCAGATTGACTGCGTTTTTAAGTTAATCACGGATGTTGTACTCGATATTATCCTAGTAAATTGGAACTTGACTATGATTAATCGAAAATGGCACATTTATTTCGTTAAATGTTTTAAGGTATTTTCTTTCTCCTTATCGCGTGCCTTTATGGTGTAATTGGAAGCACATCCAGCTAGCAGTCGGGAGGTTTGGAGTTTGAATCCAGGCGAGGGTATAGGTCGTTTCTCATGTTTCATACTTCGACAAACATGACATTAAACAATGTAACTGAATTTATTTCGTTACGCCTTCATTTCGTTATGTTTATTTATGTTATTGAATTTATCCCGTTATACATTCATTTCGTTAAATGTTATTGAATTAATTCCGTTAAATATAACAGAATTTATGTCGTTTAAATGTAACAGAATTTGCTTACTTGTAGCGTTATAAAATATAGCTCACTATTTTATGCATAAAAGTTTTCAGTAATAGTTTATATAATTTTTATAAAAGGAATGCGTGCTATAGAAGGCATAAAGTAAATATAGAAAGAAGAAGTCCTGTATGAATGAAGAGTATAAATTTCCTTTTAATAGAACTAAAGGTTTAATTAATGTTTATAGCACAGTGTCTCAAGAATGTAGATAAATGTGTTAACTAAAAAGTAGAACACAATATATCGACATTCGATCAGCGTTATCTGATAGAATGTAAACATTCTTGTTAATCAACTTTTAGTACAGAGGTACTTAACGCTCATTAATTTTATTTAGATCATTTACGTCTTTGGATATTGAAACGGCTATTTTATATCACATTTCGGAGGAAACCTCATGCTATCCAAGTAAAATGTAATTCAAGCAAATATATATATTTTTTTAATCTTGTGTGATATAAAGTAAATAATATCCTCAATCTTAACCGTTATCATGTATGATGTAATGATGAAAAAACACTAGCTTCGAAAGTATTCTATGCCTTAAAGCTGAATATTTAAGGAATACGCTTTACTAAAAGTGCCCATATAAGTAGATTCAATTTATAACAATAAATGACATTGAACAACACTGTCACAGAATAAGTAAGTCTTTTTCTTGCGCATTCGTGTATGCTGATTTTAAGACATATTCTCAGAGTCTGAATTTAGAAACGGTTTTCCAAATTTGGGGACCGTATTGTACGCTGCCATGGCATTTGTCACCTATACGGCTTAGCTAGTATTGCTATTACACAGGACATTAGACTTTTAATTTACCTTCCACGAGTCTGATAAATATAGATTTTCCAAAGAGTGAACGTCAGATTCAACGTGAATCTAAATTCAACGTGACGTCAGATTTTGAATCATTAGCTCCCCATCTTTTGTGAGTAGTGAAAAATCTGAATTATTTTATTTTCTTGTAGGATGTATTGACCCCTATATTATGAAGATGAAGGAGATAAATGCCTTTAATTCATTACATTCCTGCAGTTGGAAGAACAGTTGCAGAAAGGAGGTGAGGTTCAATCGGTCCAAATCAAAATAGTGATAGGTTATCCTCCACTACAGTTCGGACGCTACTGTAGAGTAATTAGGGATATCGTTAGGGAAACTGTAGAATAATCAGGCTGTGGTTTTATTGGAAGCACGTCCAGCTAGCACCGGATGATACGAAATTCGAATCCCGGTTAAGGTATTGCTGATTTTTCATGTTCTGCTCTGGAATAAAATTATTATCTTTAAATAATAATAATAAAACATTTTAAGTAAACCAAAACAGATAAACTACAACACAATAAACATCGGTATCTTTTATTTTTTTAAGTGCTTTAATTTTCAGCTTAATTTAAAATAAAACATGGTAATATATATATTTTATCTAAAGCAGTAAATAAAGGGTATATATCAGAGATGTTCATTGTAATGACGGCTCATCATCCGTTGCATTACAACGACCGGTGCAAAATATTCCCGTCTGACAAGAAAATATTAAATCCATTTTCATTACAACTCCACTAGTTGTAATGTCTTTTTTCTTTAGAACGCGAACCTGTAAACTAAACTGCACATGGTCTTACGTAAAAAGACTATTCTTTCTTATTCAGATATCACGTAGCAGCGCACAGTTAAATATAAGGAGCATTTTCTGTTGAAGCTTCATGTACAAGTTTTAAAAACTTCCGAATAAATTATTAATAATGGTGTCTCGCGATTATCAAACTTTCACACAGAATTTAAATGTAATATTTTTTTCCGCGGGGTTTTATTTGACGCTCCAACCTTGTATTCTTTAGTGTATTTTGGACTTAGTCTAAATACGGTGTTAAAGATCAGTATTTTTTTTATTTACCATATTATGGCTTATCTTAAATTACGATTTTTTGGGAACTTTTTATTCTTTTTTTTTAATATGGATTTTTTCTGTGCGTTATAAGGCCTCAGTGGCTGACGGATAATAGATATTGATAGCTAAAAGTCCAATGAATAATCAATTTTCACTTTATAAAAAGAATGTGGATGGGGATTTCCCCACAGTCTACTTTCTTTGGAGCTCACATGGACTATGCGAACAGAACAGCAGAGCAAGAAAAAGTTATTTCACTCGAAATCATTGGCCAAAACGAACAAAACTCAGGAAAATTTAATAGCATCATCAGAGCACAGAAGTCCTACCTCTGCAGAGGAAGAGTATATTTTTAAAGTTCCCTAAATAGGACTAAAAGATTTATTGAGCAAATTATGGAGTAAATAACTAAGATTTAATTTCTCGAGAAACTTTGCCTGACTTAAGTGACAGTAAAACCAAAGAAGGAAATTTTGTCAGGCTTGTCAGGCCAATTATTAGAAAACTACAGCATGCATCATTTAACGTTACCACTTTCAAAGTAAAATAGGCATTTACTGTACACAGTAATAAATACAGATGAATACATTACATTTAGATTCATATATCAGGCCTTATTTTTTCAATACAACTTGTAGATGTTTTCCAAGATAATCAAGAGATTGTTGCCATCTATTAGGTGCATTTACCTGATGTAGACATTCCTAGATAACATTCGCAGTCTCCTGCTGAATTGTATTTTTAAAGCTGTTAATGGTAGGTTGTCAGTATCGTAAATAGAGTACACACTACCTGTGGCATGAGCTAAATTTGCGCCCTCTCTCCTTTTTTTATTTAAAGATAAATATGGTGAAAATGAATTGATTTTAAATCTGCTGTGTGATAATTATTTATTTTTCGGGTATAAATAAAAAAATTGTTAAACAATTTTCATTCGCATTGAATGACCAAAACTGAGAAAATATAGTGTAGAGTCAAAATAACAGTTATAAAAACATGTGTTTAACATATTTTACAAGTAAAGAAGTCGATTAAACGGGTTTTCATTCGTGTTTACTAACCAAAAAGTTACAGTACGGTTTACAGAAATTTACAGAAAAGTTTACAATATGAGTACATTACAAATTCAAAATAATATTTATCATAAAAACTGAAGTTTAATATTTTTTATAAAATAATCTTTCTAGCTTTTTCTTTTACAAATACATCTATTATATCATCATTATTTACTGTTTTTGCAGTATTCTTTTCAATTCTTATTATAGACATATATGTCAATTGCTCTTTTTCGAGAGAAGAAAGTAGGTACGGTTTTACGCTATTCAGTTTGTTGAATGAACGTTAGCAGGAAGCTGTTGTAACATTGTTAAGAAAATCCTCAACGCAATGTCAAGGTTTGGATATGTACTGAGCAATGCGAGTTCATTATTTGTTTGCAATATTTGAGGAGCATCCACATCACTTAAATTTTCAAATACTTCCATCGATTAATAATTGAATTCACACGCAAATTCAGAAGCATCTGTTTTATATTTCAAAGCCAAATCAGTTGCGCACTACTATAGCTGGATTATCGGCAAAACTTTTAATGCATGTTCATTAAAAAAAAAATTGTAATTGTTTGCTACTTCTTGTAAAGCTGTAACTCTATCATTGAGTTGCATAAGTTTTAGATGTAATACATACGAAGAATCCTTTTTTAGATTTTCATTCATTCGGAATTAATCATCAGAAACGTTTTCACCAAGCATATTTTTTTTTATTTTGCTTCGTCTCTTCTCTGGTACGCAAGTTTCAATATTTACTTTCTAACTCCATCGCCAGATCCAGGGGGAGACGAATTATTGTCCACCACATTTTAGTGCATGCGCCACTTGCAGAGTTTATTACTTTTTTCCCTACAGTAGGAAACATAAAAAAAATGTGATGCCCTCTTCACGATTCGAACTCTGAACCTCCAGACTGCTGAGGGGACGTGCTTCCAATTATACGACGATGGCACACAGTAAAGATGAAGAAAAATTCCTTACAAATGACAAAACATATAGTTTTCCTCGTCATCGTTTGAATAAATAAATAATAAACCCTTATGAAAAGACTAAGTCGTTGGCATCATTCATTAAACTGCAGTTTTCGAAAGACGCGGAGAAAGCTCTTGGAACATTATTTATGCAGAATTCTGTACTGGAAAGGTACTCTTCGTTACAGGCATATTATCTAGATGTATTTAGCACATATAAATGATAATTTTAAGAAGAAATTTCTGTATTCTTGAAAGAAAGTCAAAATATTCGAAAATATAATGGGGATTAGGGTAAACTATCACCATTGCTTTCTTTGATTAACACAGTAAATTTTATTTTGCGAAGTTGCAGTATATCTTTGACGAGCTTTCGTTCGTAACGAAAAGTATCATTAAGTGATATAATATAATTGTCCGCAACTTATTAAAACCAATAATAGGGTTTTCGCATTATGAAAAAAATCATGTCTAATGTGGG